TGTTACTCATCAGCTGAAAATTAGCATCCTGAAGGCTACAGGGAAAAGAAAAAAAAAAATCTATTTCATCTTTGAAGCCATAGTAATATGAAGCACCAATGGCTTGTATTCCATAATCACATACTTATATGAAACAGTAATTATATATATTATCACATCACATCTAATTAAGGTAGTAAACCAACTGAATACACATATTAAATGGAAAGTAAAATGTAATAATAAAATACATAAAATGACAATGTATTTCATTCTATACTAATCATCTGATAACTGTTAAATTTCAGGTAATGGTCAAAAAAGTTCCTTTGCCTATAAGCTATCCTTAAAAAGAAAATAGAAAAGTACATATGCCAACTGTAATTGTTGTTTCACTTCGACAATTAAATAATTGATTATGTTTTGCTATATCAAAGTTAACATAGTATCACAGCAGTTACAACTTTCGTTTCTTTGGCATGCACATTACTCATAAAAACTTAGTCAAGCAGTTTTACTTCCCATTTGCATTGAACAAATCTTCTGCTAAATTATAAGATGCAACATGTGCTTTTGTTAGGATGGGTGTCCTGGTATACTGTGGTTTGAGACACTTAGTACTGATAAATATACATTCCTGTGACATTTCCATTTTCAAATGACTGATGTCTATGGCTGCCTATAACAGTATCTTGATTATAGGGTAAAGTGGAGACTTGCACAATTCTATTTAGACATTCATTTTGGACAATATCTGACACTGCTACTTCTTCACCTTGAATATGTGCAGGGAGCTGAGAGTCCGCCATGAAGTCTTCATGTACTTTCATATGCCTTGTTAATTCATCTTCTCTTAAGAAAGCATTACTGCACAAGCCACAAATCCAACATGATTCTTCAACAGAGGCATGGTTTAGTGCCTCTGCATGTGCACTAAGGGATGAGATGTTGGAAAAACTTTCTCCACAATCTGGACAAAAATAATTTTGTTTGTTGCTATCCAGATACTTCTCAGAACTCTCATCTTTTGCCCTGTTTCTGTGTATCTCCATACCTTTCAATTCATTTAACTGAGTAACATCAAATGATGACATCAGATTTTTGGCCTGTTCTTCTGAAAACCTTGTTAAGAGGAAACATATGTTTAGAAAAATATAACTATTAGATGAGCTTACATATTTCACTATGTACATCAATAAAAAAGTCAAAACATTATTTATATCACACTTACATATTATCATAAGATCTTGGTGATGTGATGATTGCATCTAAAAGCAACTGCTCATTCTGACTCTCCTGACATTTTAATTCATGCATCTTCATTCTGTCAGATGTTAAAAACTGTTGGCCACATTTTGAACATATGGAAGGCATTTCCTCATATTGTTTGACCTGAAATGCAATAATGATTTAGAAAAATATTCTCAGTGAAGCAAAGAGTATCTGAAGGATGAGGAATATTTACCTCATATCTACTTATGACTTCAAGAGATTTTTAAAATTAAGTTATGTTAGGGTTACCATATTATCAATGTCTATATCTATATCAATCTATATCTATTCACATTCACATTCCTACCTTGAAACTATGTGACTTCATATGGGCAAGAAGTTGACTTTCTGATTTGAAGGTAATTTTGCACTCTATACACATATGCTTCAAAGCAGTTCCGCTTTCTTGTTTCATCTGATTTTGCGGTCTGGGTGGTGATGCAAAACCTCTGAAACCATAATATTTACAGGTTAATATCATATATGTCTATTTTGCAGCCATGTACAGTAACAATAATCAGCCACTTTGACTAACATCTCTTTCATAGCATAAGGGAGTGAATATATGCATTTGTAAATAAACAATGACAATTATAATCCAGTTCTCGTGCATATTGATCCTTATGATCCGGATGACGTGCCCATCATATCATGAAAAAATGGAAAGTTTGGGTGACATCTGGGGTGACACAACTTTCCATTATGAAAATTTTAGCTGATAGCCAAGTCAACAGGAATGACTTGCCACAAGTGCACAAATCTCTTGGAGTGTGATTAGACTCATTGGACATTTAGGAAGAGGCTTTTGCATTATTCTTATTAATAAACAAGTATGGAAATTACTATCTGGGAGCCATGACTGGCTCCAGGGAAGATGCTATTTTAATGCTCAGGATCCTATACCTGCCCATTGTGATGGGCAGTGTAGGTTATAATATTGAAAATTGAATATTGCACACACACACACACGCATACAAACACAAAAGACACTAATAACAAAATATTATTGTTGCACTGAGTTATGAACTACCTACAGAGATGATGTGGAGTCTGTGCAAGGAAAGCCATCAATTACCTTCTGGATAAAGCAAATAAAATGACAAATATAGTCATTGGAAAATGACAAAAAAGCTAAAAATGCTTATGCTTAAAACAAAGAATAACCTTGCAATGGGAAGAATTGGATTCTTATCATTGCATACGAATGTTGGTGCGTGCCCACGTGGGCAATGAGGCATCCGGATCCAAGGGGTTAAGGAAACCTCCCTTCCTCTTTTTCTCTGAACATGAGGATTTTTTTGGGGGGATAATTTTTTTCTCCCATTAATTTTTGAACTCCTACTCTATGCATCCAGGATCCTTCTAGATACAGCAAATAAAAAAAGCAAATGGAATGAACTGTCCAAATCACTGCCTTTCTGAATTAAATGAGCCATTTCCTTCTTCAGATGTAAAAAAATTCTTACATGAGCAACAAGGTAATGGAAAAGGAAAGAAAGAAAGAAAAGAAAAGAAAAAAAAAAAAAAAAAAAAAAAAAAAAATTGCATTCACAGCATATACTCCTGCCTTATTAATATGTACTAAATTCTTATTATGTTATTCAAAATAATAAAGTTATATTTCCAACTTATTTCCTAATATGCTGGTACCTGTGGCACTCACCATGAAACACACAAACTAAAGACTGGGTTCCACTACTCAATTTTGCATTGGTCTCCCCAAATGGTTATATTATAGTTAATCTCCCTAGGTTAGGTATGTCTGGGCTTACTTAAAACAGTCTCTATGGTGACTTAGACAACCTCATAAAAAGTGTTCTAAGAGATAACTTTGAGAGGGTAAAACCCACAAAAAAATCAGAAGGGTGCTCCTTGATCTGAATGACCACTGGGTGTATGTAATGTCCACTACAGTTTTGGTTTGTGATGCTTGTTTACACACAGATGGCTCTGCAAGTGCTCAGGTACTAAGGAGTCAATCAGGAGGCTTATGTTACCTCAGCTGATTTTCCTATTCATATATCTTTTATTACAAATAAAAAGATAAATAAATAAATAAAATCTTATGATAATAATATCAATATTGTTATTGTACTACTACTGCCTCTGCTTGCACTACTACTAAAAGGTAATAGTAGTATAAGCAGAGGCAGTAGTAGTGCATTATTATTACTAATGACATGATTTCTTGATGTCATTAAAATATTAAGAGTAATATAGAATTTTAAGAAAAATCCTCTAAAAAAGCAAGAAAAGGGGAAACAGGTGAGATAGGTACTAGGAATTGACTCTGTATTGGTTATGCTCTTAAGCAATCATCTTCATATAAAGACATCTAATAAAGTAAAATCACAGGCGACATGGCAAGTACATAAATTATATTCCTGGTAGCAATAGGTTAATGGAGAAAGTCTAAGGATTAAAAAATATTCACTTATCTCCAAACTCCTAAATATTGCTTTTTTGTAAAAATGACCCCTTAAAAAGGCTGCTTTGGAAAAAAAAAAAAAAAAAAACATGAGTGTGACTTCTCCAGGCTGAAATATTTATAGGAAAAATATTAAGAAAAGAATCAGTTTCACAAACTGCATACATACTTTGAACACTGAAAGTCATGATGAGCAAATCCAGTGTGTTTCATGTTAATGTGGTCTTCCAAAAGATCTTTGAGAGAAAATATTTCTGAGCAATGTGGACACTGAAGACTTCTCTCATGTTTTTCTTCTTCATTTGTCTTGTAATGCTGATGCAAAACCCCTCCCTGGATGATGGATTTTGCACACTGTTCACAGCTCAAAGGTTGATTACCTGGAAAAGTATAACAATTTAATCCCTTTCAGGTATTCTATAAATATAAAATATCTTTACATATGGATGTGCTACCAGACAAGATAGATAGGGTGGGGAACGAGAAGAGAAAGCAGAGAGGAGGGGAGGGGGAGAAGGAGATAGAAGGTGGGAGGGGGGGGCACATGAATGTGCATGGACAAGCATGGCTCCTCACCACAGACACACATGAAAAAACAATCATCTATAGCTATTCATACAGATCTGAATACAGTTCTTACCTAAATGAGTGTCTTCAATTTGAATGTATGACTTGCCACAAAGCTCACAGGTTTCCAGAGTGACCACTGTAGTGTGACTGCTTTGACTGTGAACCATTAGTGTTAACAGAGACGGGAATGAAGCACCACACTCCATGCAACTGTAGGATCTGTTTAGATTAAAAGACAATCAAATCCCTACATGCAATTATATCATCCTGGAAAACATGAGTTTTTATGAACTGTTCATTAATCAAAAATATACATAGGCAATCAAAAATATACATCTAGGCATGATTTGAAAATACAGACTGGAAAATGATAAATGAAGCAATAACAAGTGAAACTATTAACTGCAGAAGAATATTCAAAATATTTAGTCCTTTATAAGCAAAGCAAAGCCAAAATTCAGTAACAACAACAACAATAATTACTTGTCTCGCTTGAACTGAGGAAAAATTTCATCTGAAACTCTATCCTGCAATATTTCCCCCTCTCCTGCCCAAGAAAGATTCTGTTCAAAAATGCTGCTCTCAGTGGTTGATGATGGTTGAGGATTTCCCTTTTCCTTGTACGTCTTTGGCTCTGGCTCAGCTGGCTTTACAATTTCTTTGCTGCAGGTAGCTGCATCATTTAATGAGTTTATTTCCCCAATCATTTTGTGAATCTGTAAATGGAATAAATATCCATGCTTAAAAATCCAATTCAAACAATCATAAATTTAAAACAATAGAGTAAATATAATATTAAAAAATAACTATGTAAGTGATATATAAAATATCAGTTTTTTAAAATTCTATTTACCATATATAATCACAAAATGGAAATTTCTTCATTCCCTATTAATCTATAATTTTCAAACAAATAACATGAGTACCGAATACTGATAAGAATATAAAAAAAAAGACAATTTTCTTATCATTTCTGAAATAAATTATGTGAAATACTTACAGATTCCTGATCTTCAAGTCTTGCATTGTGTCTTCTAGTTTTCTTTGCATTTTGACTTTGCTTTGAGCTGCTTGCATCATCCATTGCTTTCTCAGACTGTGAAACTGATTTCCTTTTCTTTACACTTAGTTTATTATTCTCAAAAGATGTCTCCTTTAAGGTTTGCTTTAGCAAACTTAATCTTTGGTTGATCAAAGTAGGGTTTTGATTATTCTTATCTGCCTGCTGACAATTTAGAGTTTGTTTGACCTCATTAACTTCAATATCAAATAATGACAGATCAATATGAGAAAAAACGGTGCTTATTGCTGTGCAAACTATTGTACAAAAACCTCTGTACATAATGTTCAGTATACCTTCCCATAATGAGTGATTCATACTTGTTATTATAACAAGAGCATGTTCATTTGAGAGTTCTTGCACCAATAGCTCATGAATGGGAGGGCAAATTGCACTGAACAGAGTTTTATGAGCAAGCATTCTTTTATTCTCCACTACTAGCATAAGATCAGCATTCCTCCCTACAGTATAATATTGCTGTAGTCGTGCCCACAAATCCTTAGCTTCCGGCCTCACACGAGCATGGATGGTGACTTGTGACTTTGGCCTCTTATCACTACTGCCTGAAACTTTTGCAGCAAACTTCTTTGTTAACTCTTGCAAACTCTCCACTTGGAAAGCTCCACATAATTTGTGAAACTCCAATAACATATCCTTTTGGACACAAGTTTTACCAAAATACATGTATGTGATAAGGCTCTGCGCTATCTTTACTTTTACATCTGGTAGGTGAATTATTCGTATCCTTTGATCTTCTTGAAAGGCACTATTGAGTACTGGACTTGCTGCACCAAGTATCAGTTTATGTGCTTTAATGATATGGCCATTCACAACGACAGCAACATCTGTACATTGCTGATGGCAACACATATACTGCAAAGCTCGTACCAAATGTTCTTTAAATCCTGTCCATTGTACTGAATACATGCCATTACTACAAACTGAGTATGACAATTCATGGTTGTCAAGATTTAGTGATCTTGTAACACTCTGAACTTGTTCTAGCAGAGATGATGATACTGTCATGTTACCAGAATATAAAAGAGATCTTGTGGCATAAAGTGCTCCACGGGTTGGCTGGAAGCCTACCGTTATGTTGTGGATAATCAGGGTGTTCTGAAAAATAAAGTTTTCATCAATAGTATAGTACTCAAATATACATATTACCCACACATGATGCCATCAAAACCTTGCTGACTTAGAAAAGAAAATATAAGTGTCTGTTTTTGCACCCCAAGGGGAAAAAAAAAAAAAAAGTAATAATAATAATAATAATAATAATAATAAAATAAATGTTGAACTATAAAGAAGCACACAATTACAATTTTGTCCAAATATGTCAAATTGTAAACAGCTACCTCCTAAGGACACAGTTTTATAGGCAATATTAAAGGATAATGATAAAAAAGAAAGAACACTACATAAATTGCATAAAAACTACTCACCTGCTGGAGAAGAGGATCAAGGCGTTTTCTCCACCAACTGCTTAGCGCTGCTAGCAAAGCCCCATGCACCATCATTTCTTCATCACCTAGACGCAAATACACCTCTGGAGGCACTCCTTTGTATGAAGCTAAGTCTTGTAATGACCTCATAAGATTGGATACCAATTCACTCCAGCAAAATGCTAATGAATTAGTTACTGGTTTCTGTTGGCCTTCATTTGATTTTTCCGCATCAACTTCCATTTTGTTATTTCTCCTGAAAAAGTAAAATATATGCATCACTTCTACATGAGTTATTTAACTCATAAATTGTATGATAATGCTTGCAGTTATAGCTATCTGAAGATGAATCACTTCCAAGTAAGGAAAGTAAGTGTATGGAAAGCAACTTCAGAAACAAGTCTTACAGGGAATGCACTATGTGACCTACTTATTTTCTGATTAGCAGATCATTTCATGTATCAGTGAGTATAGTTTTTTCATTCTCTTTATGACAGTATCTTTTGAAATTCCCTATCTTAGTCATCACATAAATATATACCATAATATTAGTTGTGTTGCACAACTGTTTTATCAACTTGAAAATGAAATGCCATGGAAGAAATGTTTCTTAAATTTTGCCATATGGCTATGTAGAACTGAAACTATACCATATTCATGGTATTTACCCTATTCAGTCCTAGTTGGATTCTAGGGATTCAAATTCAAGTAATTTCCTTGAACCAGTCCACATCTTAAAACCCATCAAAACTGATATTCATGATTTAAACAATGTCTATATATACTTAGTAACAATAACAAATAGGCATAATATGAATGTCCCATACATTGCACTATAGCCCTTGACTGAACCCTCTTAGAAGTAAGTTTACTTCCATCTCAGCTGGGTCATAAGATTACTCATGAGGAACATCATTCAGACCTGTCCTGGCTGTATCTTACCAGGATGTGCAAGAGATTTTGGACACCAGGAGGGAGGGTTGGGGTTAGTAGTGCCCAAGAGTTGTATTTTAGGGGCTACAGTCCCCTGACATTGACTTTCTTTTATAGCATTTCCTTTGAAATCTATTAATTTGGGTAGATAAGAGGCTCTCCAAGATATATACTCTTCCAGTACCGAGGAAAATGTAACAAAAATGAGAAAACAACAAAATAACCAGCAGGAATTGTAGCAATTGATGAATGTGACAGAAATCAAATGAGCAAACAGGAATTGTACCTGACCATGACCTGATGATAGACAATAGCGACAAGACTATTAGACCTAATAAGACTTTTGATAGATAATCATGTAACAACAGAAGCTGAACCTGAGGGAAGTCAGTTGAGATTCATATAAGATTTATCATCACTAGGCTGTGTAGGTGCTGAGAAAACTGTTTCACCTTAAATGAGCAAAATATCATGCAATAACGAAAAAGAACAGCAGACAGTGATCACAACTCCCACCAACTGGCAGGCTGATGAAAATTTCTCAGATCAAAAAGGGGGAACAGGGGGAATCAACCTCTTCTGAAAGGAAAATTACTATGAACATTCATCAGAGTAAGATTGAAAAGTTTATTGTACTGCAGCCGCGCCATGTAAACAAATCAAACTGATCAAACGATGGAGTAGAAAGAACATACTATGTAAAATTTACTACAGGTACAACAAATGTCTAAAACATAAGATGTGCTTTTCGTTTGTCAAATATTTGTCAGGCATTTGATTGAGTTCAGGTTTTCAGCTGCCTATACCCATGTGTAATTTTTCATGATAGTAAACCATTGCTGAGCAAGTAAAACTGCAGCATACCAACTCCCTTGCACAATTTGCAATCTTTCCAATCTAGCATCAGAATAGCTGATTTACTGGAAGGTTTACTTTGATCGTCTTGCAATTTCCCTTATACTCTTGAAACCTTCCATGCTATCTGGGGAAATACTGTAGCTATGCTTCGTTTGTGATGGGAATGAGTATAGACTCATTCAGAACTATCTGAAATATGTAGTCTTCACCCGGAAAATGGTGTTAACTGTCCTTTGTATATTGACTAGAATTGACTGATGATTATTGAAGGCCACCCCATCTATAGATTCCTGTAGTGTCGCTATTGTTGCTTTGCAACAACCAAAACCACTATAAATACACATTAGCTTCGATATCATGAGGACTCAATTGATACCAAGTTTGATAGGTTTTAATATGCAGATTAGGATAATTAGGAACACTATCTTATTTAGATCATATACATCAATTGAAGTCCTACAGAAGCATGACAGACTGTAATGATTTTGGTATCGTTAGATTCCTCTCACTGTCTAGTTTCCAAATTCATTGAAATTATTGCATGAAAACCCCCAAACTCCCACTTTCTTGACCCTAATAGTAGGGGAGAGCATGAAAGATACCAAGGAAATTCATGGTAAAATGCAAACGATCTACACTGAATCAGTCACTATATTGTCCAATGCTTGGGGCTGTTCCGCCTGTGACCCCCTGATTACAGCCTTGAAGCTATTTAATCATACCTCACTTTTCATTAAATAAACTTGTTTCGCAAATGAATAACAATATTATTTGATTATCAAAATAGACAAATATAATATTAAAACCTATTAGAAGCTATGATATTCATTATTCAAATTAGTCTCGCCATGCTTCCGTGTGGGTAGAGTGTCATATGAAACCATACCAAGTTATAAAAAATTATTTTGAAGACAATGAGGCTAGTTAGAAACTATTACATGAACACGGAGTGCTAGCCTCTGAGTGCTGTTGCAACTGGCTGTTGCGACGGCACTCAATGCTGAGTCTGTCCGACACTCTCTCATGCCGTAAATATGTAGAGGATTCTGTTTTCCTGGGCGGGGTTTGGGGGGCAGCAGCCTCCCATTGGGGGGGGCACTATATTACATTAGACAATATAGTGACTTAATCAGTACCGTGATTACGGCAGTGGAAAATTTGGTCAGTATTTCCTCAGCAATTGTGTGAATATCACCTTTTAATATTGTTTTTATTTATTTTCATAATTAAATAACCTCATTATTATTTATTTGCAAGACAAGTTTATTTAAGTGATAATTAATTAAATATCTTCAAGGCTGCAAGGTTAGTTTCATTGATTCTTTGGTGACGCCAATTTTCAAATTGGTAATTTTCTATATTACCTTCGCCTCTCCGATATCGCCAATTTTGGTATCGTTGGATTCCTCTCACTGTCCACATTGCAAATATATAGTTTTTATTGCATGGAAACTCCCCGTTAGCAAAACACTTGGTCCCGATAGCAGGGGAGGGCATGAACGGTTCCAGGGAATATGCGGGGTTGAATAACACCAATAATATAACCCACAGTGAAAATAACCATAGTTATTCACATGACTTTCCATTGCAGGAGGCTGTGCCCGCCTGAACCCCCGTAGGGGGGGCTTCTGCCCCCACCTCCGCCGAGGAAACAAAACCTCCACCACATATTCCCGGCAGGCTAGAGCGTTACACAGTTATTGTCGATCGCGGAGCGGTGGATGTATTACATTTACCTCGTAACATTCCCACTGAATCAGCATACTAACCTTGACATAGTCAGCATTGTATACAGAGACCATTTTAGTATAATCAGGATGAACAAGGTATACCATGAACATAATATCTGTATTATTAAGCTTACACACCCTATTACACAAAACATGTATTGAGTTTAATTACAAATACTAAAAGGTATTCAACGCTTAGGCACCGTATACTAACATAAAATTATTATATTAGATAACTTACATAAAAATTAAGACAAGTAAAGGAACCAGATTACATGTGTGCGGCCGAGTGAGTTTTCACATGCGAGTAGGGAGCAGAAGACAAACGTTTGTTTACAGAAATACGAGCGCAAAGTTTTTTTTCTTTCCTTTAATACTGACTTATTTTATTTATCAGAAGTTGAATATATACATATATATAAGAATATATATATATATATATATATATAATATATATATATATATATATATATATATATATATATATCCTTTAAACTTTAGTTCAACACACTGAATCTACAATTTCTGCGAATATTGCGATCTTTTCGAAATAGATCTTGCTAATACTCTTCGAAAATAAGTGTTTTCTTTTGTTACTCATGATAAATCCATGTTTTTTTTTCTCTGATATGAATAGACTTTCTTGGAGTTTTACAATTGCGCAACCACTCCCTCCCTCTCTGTAAAAGATGCCGCGTAATAGAAAAGTCGTTTTAGAATTCCAGTAGATTTCCTCCTATTTTGCGCGTGCTTCAATACTTACAACTCTATGCTGTTTACAGTCGATGCACTGAAATCTGAAGCAGTTATTTTTTGACGATAGTTGCGCCACGACAGGTTTCTGCGTCTTGCACTTGTCGCCAGGCTGGGCTCAACATTTTTGCTGACAAGGGTTAAAATCCAGCGGGCAGAACTGAAATCTTTTGATTGGTCTAGGAGGTATTATTCCATATTATTCAAGCATTTGCTTTTCCTTGTGTTTATGCAAAAGTGTATACATTAAATGTTTTCTCTTGTGTAACCCGATAAATAGGAATCCATATTTACGAGAAGAATATTGTTATATTAATTATCTCTATTTTATTTATTTTATAACCTGTCGACAGAACACTGTCTGAAATAACAGGAGAGAGAGAGAGAGAGAGAGAGAGAGAGAGAGAGA